AATCATCTATCTGATAAGGGACTAAAATTCACAATATACAAAGAATTCATAAAATTCAATACCAAAAAACAAACGATCCAATTAAAAAATGGGCAGAAGATCTGAGTAGACAATTTTTCTTTTTTTAAATTATTATTATGTTCTGTTAGTCAACATACAGTACATTAGTTTTTTTTTTTTTTCTTTAAAGATTTTATTTATTTGACAGACAGAGATCACAAGTAGGCAGAAAGGCAGGCAGAGAGAGAGAGAGAGAGAGAGAGGAGGAAGCAGGCTCCCCGTGGAGCAGAGAGCCCGATGTGGGGCTCGATCCCAGGACCCTGGGATCATGACCTGAGCCGAAGGCAGAGGCTTTAACCCACTGAGCCAGCCAGGCGCCCCCATCATTAGTTTTTGATGTAGTGTTCAACGATTCATTAGTTGCACATAACACCCAGTGCTCATCACATCACGTGCCCTCCTTCTTCATACCCACCACCCGGTCACCCCATCCCCCAACCCCCTCCCTTCTGTAATCCTCAATTTGTTTCCCAGAGTCCAGAGTCTCTCATAGTTTGTCTGAAAACAATCCATCGACAGATGAATAAAGAAATCATGATGTACAGACACAGACACACAGACACACATGATTATAATACAGCCATAAAAAGAATGAAATCTTGCCATTTGAGACAACATGGATGGAACTTGAGGGTATTATGCTATGTGAAAAAAATCAGAGAAAAACAAATACCACATGATCTCTCTTATATACGGAATCTAAGACAAACAATAATCAAAAACCAAGCTCACAGATACAGAGAATACAGTGGTGGTTGCAAGAGGCAGGGGGTCAAAGTCGAGAAATAGGTGAACTGTTTTTGTTTTGTTTTTAGTTAATAAATGGAATAAATATTCCGATCCATAGTAAAACACATTATCCACTGCACCGTCCCTTTAAACTGAATATTAAAAACAAACCAAAAAACAGGCCTCCAAAGGTACAGGGAAGTTGGTGTCGGTGTGAGGCAGAAGTACACTGCGTATTAAACTTTGCTGGGTCCTACACAAAAATAAATGCAAAGCAGAAACTCTAAAATACCATTCAGCCCTTCAGGATACCCCGATCTGAAAGACCGTCTTCCGAAAGAATCTATGAATTACTCGGGAAAGCTCCAGAGAATAAATATTCTCCAATGAATCTAACTCCATGGGGCACATCTTGAAAGACGGAAAGGGGAAATACAACTTACAGGAACTCTTCTAGAACCTGCTGAAATTTCAATATCCCCTGAATCTATGACAACAAGCCCAAAAAACAACATTCAACTGCAAGACTGATCCCTCTCAAAAGTTAGGTCAAAACTCTTGCATGCCTGTACCTGCATAAGAAATCAGCTTGCCACAGTTACATTAAGAGAAAATGTACTGAAAGGGGTAGGAGTCAAGTGCCTCTTCCCTCTGGAAGCTGGAAGAATTGAGTAAGACACAATGGATGCTCCATTTGGTCTTCCGCATAAGAAAGGAGGGGTGGTCTTAGAAATTTGTTTAGATATTGTCCAATTCTGCAGTCACAGTTCTACACATTTAAAGAAGTAGTCCCATTTCTGAATTCTTTGACCAGATTCAATTATTAACACCAAGCCCAAGGGAAATTTTAAAAATAAAGATGTTTCATTTGGAAAGTAATTTGACCGGATAAAAAGTCATGAAAGTAGGGGCACCGACCTGACTGGCTCAGTTGGTGGAGCATATGACTCTTGGCTTTGGGACTATGAGTTCAAGACCCACACCAGGTGTGGAGATTACTTAAAAATATTTTTTTAATTTTTAAAAAGTCATAAAATTATATTCCTAAGCCTTCCAGTACTGCCACCTCCAGGCATCTCTCCTAAAGAATAAACCCACTGCCTGTTTAAGGCTATGCGTGTCCCCCGGTGCTGGTGCCATCACTTACACCAGGACACAGAACCTGTCAGAGCCTCCCCTTGACACACTGGTCCAGTTCTGCTGAATGAGACGACACTGGATTCCTCCAAGTAGATGAGCTGATCTGAGTCATTCCTTTCCACTCAGACAGGAGCTATACTGAAGCCCAGAGACCAACTTTTTGTGATGGAAAGTTTCTGTCTACAACTACAGGCAAAGGTCACAAAGTTGCTGAACCGAGAAACGCTATTATTCTAAGATGCTTCATATATCAACATAAAACCATTCTTGGACTAAAGTTTTAATACAAACATGAAGTCAATAAATCTATCCTATCTCTCATCCCTGTTATGCTTGGACAACGTCTCCAACTCCTTTCTTCCCTGCTGCTCTAGTTTTTCCTTGTTTCCATTGCCAGACCCACCCCCCAAGACCCTCCAGCCTAACTACCCATCACAATGCATGGAATCGCCTTGAATGATCAAGAAAAAACTCCACACCCTGACCTCTTCACCAAATGTTCTCTCAACCTCTTCTGTTCTCTCTACAGCTTCTGATTCTCTGCCACAAACGCCGCTCAAGTGAGTGAGTGATGCTCCTTGTCTTGATCTGGGTAGTTGGAAAAGGGGGGAGGGGCAAGATTTTCTAAACTTCCTTCCCTTCACTAAGCCATTACATTCCTACCCTTGTTTCAAAAGTGAATCCCTACTCTGATACCTCTCCTTTTAATCCCACATTACTTCTACCTCATCATTGTTTTAAAATAACCTTTACCTAAATGACAAAAAATATAAAAATAAAAAGTCTCTTGGGATTCCTGCCCACGGACACAAACAGCACTTCTATTTTTACTTTCCTTTTCATTCCTGGCATCTGTCTCTGTGGAGGAGGTAAACTTCCTCCCATCAAACCACCAAAGGTCCATCTCTCTAGGTGTGCCATGTCCTTCTCTCCCTTCACCCTCATCAGGGACCATGTTTAATCACCCCCTTTCTAGCGCTGACATATTCCTTAGCTGGATCTTCCCCAGAAAGACACAAAGACACACACACATACGATACATATGTCGTTATATATGTATAACTCCTCCTTACCTCAATCTAGTAATACCCTCGCTACGTAGTAACTGCATTATATCTGTCTCTTTTCATGACCAGGGTTATGAAAATGCTAGTCTTCCTGGACTAACTGTGCCCAATTTCAGATCTGTTCAATTCTCAACCCACTATTCTCTAATTCTACTTCACTAAAACTGTTCTATGCTTACCAAGGGCATCCGTGTGGCCAAACCCCGTGGAAACATTTCTGTTTTATCCGCTCTGATCTCTGTGAAGCACATCATGAGGGTCTATGATGACCTTTTGTTAAAATGTTCTCCTCCGCGGGGGTGCCCTTGTGGCTCAGCTGGTTAGAGTGTCTGACTCCTGATTTCACCTAGGTCATGATCTCAGGGCTGTGGGATGGAGCCCCACAATGGGATCTGCACTCATCAGGGAGTCTGCTTGAGGATTTTTTCTCTCTCCCTCTGCCCCCTTCTTGCGAGCACACACTCTCTCTCTCTAAAATAAATAAATCTTAAAAAACAAAATATCCTCCACCTCAGTTTCTACACCTATCTCTAGGTTCATCGATTGCTTCCAGTGTTTTGTTCATTCCACGATGCTACTTTCTTCCTCTCTTCATACCTGCCATATTGCTGCTTTGCAGGACCGCAGTTGTGGCCCTAAGCTCTTTTTATTATCTGAGCTTACCCTGGATGACTACTCAAATCTGGCAGTTTCACCTACACTTGATCTTGGTCCCAATTATCCACATCAGGATAGACCTCAACATTAATCCCCAGAATCACACATCTAATTGATTCCACTTAACTTTGTGGAACCCACAACATGTCTCAAACTAAATTCATTTTCCCTTCTAACCTGTTCATGCTCCTATAAACTTTTTTAAAAATTCGAGTACAACAGATGATGTTACATTCGTTTCAGGTGTACAACACAGTGATTTGGCAGTTCTATACATTGCGAAAAGCTCACTGAGAAAAATGTAGCTACCATCTGTCACCCTAAAAATTATCACATTGTTAACTATATTCCTTAGGTTGTACTTATCTTTATGACTTATTTATTTTATAACTGGAAGTTTCTGCCTCTTGATCCCCTTCACCCATTTTGCCCATCTCTCTTCCCCATCCCCTCTGGCATCTACCAGTTTGTTCTGTTTATAAGACAGTTTCTGTTTGTTCATGTATTCGTGTGTTTTGTTTTTTAGATTCCGCATGTAAGTGAAATCATATGGTATTTGTCTTTCACTATCCGAACTATCTCATTTAGCGTAATACCCTCTATGTCTATCTATGCTGTTGAGAATGGCAATATTTCATTTTTTTTAATCACTGAGTAATATTGCATTGCATATATACATCTTTTTTTTTTTTTAGATTTTGCTTATTTGTTTGAGAACAAGCAAGCAAGAAAGAACACAGAATGAAAAGGAGAAGCAAGACTCCCTGCTGAGCAGAGAGCCTGACATGGGGCTTAATCCCAGAACCCTGAGATCACGACCTGAACTGAGGCAGACGTTTAACCAACTAACCACCAAGGTGCCCCAACATCTTCTTTATCCATTCACTTATCAATGGACACTTAAGTTGCCTCCTTTGCTCCTATGAAAGAATTAATGGTGCCACAATGCATTTATTGTCCCGGTCCAGAAATGCAAGTCATCCTCAACTATGTCCTCTTGCCCTGACATGTTATCAGTCACCAATTCCACCAAACTCTCTATCTCTCGAATCCATTCCATCCTTAATTTGTCTATATGTCTTGCTTACATTGTTAAAATAAACTCTTAATTAAACTCTTATTTTCTAAGCAAATATTCTGTGTAATCCGTTTTTCACACAACTGCAAGAATACAAACTTGTATAAATGCTTCGATGTTAAGTATATGATATTCTTATAATTGTCTAATGTTCAATTTTATTCATATTTTCTGTATTTTCGAAATGTTCCATCCTCATCATGCTTTTTTTTTTAAATAAGAGCAAAAAGAAAACGATCATGTGAAAACAAAGATAAGTGGTAACATACCATGCATCAGCGGTATATCTGGAAGACGATGGTCCTGTGTATGCCGAGGCCTTGGACACAACCCGGGTCCTGGGGAGTTGGTATAAGGGCAAATCTTCTTGCTCCCTTCTTTGAGCTACATCCGGGAGTTCAACAAGCAAGCCAGGACCCTGGACATCATTTGGAATCATCATGCCTAAAGAGCAAACCCAGACAGTAGTGAGTACAGGATGCTTTTTTTCATCCTTCATTCCTTCAAGAAATAGTTACGGGCATCTACTAGGGGCAGAACCTTCAAATCAGAACTCTCATTTATATTAAACTAGATAAATAAAATATTTAATATGTCATATGATGACAAGTAGTATGGTAAAAAATGAAGCAAGGAAGAGGGCGAGGGACTGCTCAGTGAAAGAGAGTTAGAATTTTACATATGGCCTCATGGAAAGGATGACATTTTAGCTATAGAAATATTTTATCAAAAGAACCCCCTTAATGACTGTACTCTAATCTCACTACACATTTTCCCATATCAACCTAACTGCAGGCACTCCTACAACATTTCACTTATTTAAAAAAAATAATTCCACAGAATAACAAATAACCAAATAAAAACACTTACATTAAATTTTTTTTTTAATTTTAATTTTAGCATATTAACACACAGTGTTACATTACGTTCAGGTGTATAATATAGTGATCTGACAATTCTATACATCACCCAGCGCTTATAATGTTAAGAAAACACATTTTTAATGGGGCTGTGTTTACAAATTTCAGAATTCATTTACATTTGTTTACCTCATTTGATTCTCATACCAAACTATGAGTTAGAGGGAAAAGATACTAGCAACCATATTTTATACACAGAGAAACTCAGGCTAAGGAATTTTTTGCCAAGTGCCATGTGCAAATTTACCTGATGTGACATCTGTGTCATTTCCTCATTTACTGAAAAAAAGACTAGGGCAGAGTGGTGCACAGAGTCCTAGGACATATTAATAGAGACCTGCACATGCGCTGCCATAGGTCCATTAATCACCCTTAGGATACACCCCAGTAACTGATCAGAAATTCTCAGCCAATCTTTCTTCAGCAAAGTAGACAAATATAATGAACTGCGATCAAATGCCTTCCTTAAATCCACACATTTATAAGATTTTTTGGAGTTCTGGCTTTTTAGAAAATCAGAAATGATTTCTAAGAGAGAGAGAAATTGGGGCACCTGGGTGGCTCAGTTGTTAGGTGTCTGCCTTCAGCTCAGGTCCTGATCCCAGGTTCCTGGGATGGAGCCCTGCATCGGGCTCCTGCTCGGTGGGAAGCCTGCCTCACCCTCTCCTACTCCCCCTGCCTGTGTTCCCTCTCTCACTGTGTTTCTGTCAAATACATAAATAAAATCTTAAAAATAATAATAATAAAGAGAAATTATCCTAAATTTTTTCCTATAAGCATGACCTAAACTCTTTCCATTTCTTTGTCATGAACAAACTTTCAGTAAACTCAGTACTACCACTTTTTATCTGGAATAAATAAAATAAAAATCCAGAAAATCTGGAATCAGGATCTAATCAGTTGGTAATGCAACAGAACCCGAAGAGAGGATGCAAGTAATTGTAATGCTCAGGGGGTACTACAGGAAGTCTCAGGGGCCTGTGCCTCATCCCCGTGTACCCTTCCCTCTTGTCCACAGGCACCTACATTCCTGCGAAGCACTCTAATCCATATCATGGCTTCAGAGTTCTAGCTTTGCCTAAGCCTTTCTCCTCCCCACTGAGGAGAGACCGGGGTGGGACTAGACTCTGGCTGGAAGGCCAACACCAGTGTTAGGAAGAGGGAACAGGCTTTATCTGCAGAGTGCTTTCCCATCCACCTATGCTGGTAAAAGTGGCCTGTTCAATTATGGCTCTGGGTTTCATAGGTTGCCTCAGTCTGTTTAAAGCTTTTCATTACCTGTTCCGCACAAAGCCTGCTCGTGCCCTTTGCCCCCCTCCTCCTCCTCGGACCCTGGGTGCTTGGACTCAGACATACATTTCTCATCTGTCACAGTGTCTGACACACTCACTCTTTACAGAGCTGCTCACCCAGTGCACCATGGTACCCAGAGCCCATAAAACAAATCGAGTCCTCGAGGGCCTAATGCAGTGTTGGGTAAGGGCCATACGGGTGCACAAAGGTTAAAAAAACAAAGGAGCTTAAAAAAAAAAAAAAAAAAAAGAGTTCCTGGACAAATAGAGGTTAATGTTTATAGAAGAGGAATGGGGGAAATTTTCCAAAGGTTTATACTTGGTGAGGTGCAAGAACAGAACGGTCAACAAAATAAAGGCAAGAAGAATCTGAGCAGAGGGGAGGGTGGGTTATGTGTACCGAGGCCACTGCAGAGGGAAGGAGGGCTGGGAGTTGCAATGCTGCTGAATAACCACAGGTAAGTGGCATTTCACTTTCTCATTCAACAAATATTTCCTGAGCACCTGCTACGGTAACACAGATTGCCTTGCCTTCCAGAAGCCCAGTTTATAACAAGAGCTGGGGATGCAAATGCGTAAGTGTGCCTGACTCTTGGGTGCAATGACGGACTCGCCCAGGCTTCCCTGAAGGTACCATCCAGGCAGGGGCAGTCAAACATCAGGAAACAGAACTACTTTCTGTCTGAAACCTAAAACTTGTAACACTAAGTATATTATTGATTGGGAATTTATCATGTGTGCTTCACCTTATGAATTATGCTAATTTATAGGTTCAGTTTCACAGCCCATGAAGGGTAGAGGCTCTTCGAGGCTGCAAAATGTTGGCTTAAGTATAGGCTCAACAACAGCCCTTTACACATAAGGTTCTCAGAAATAATTTTCTAATTAATTGTTCAGAAAAAGAAATTTAATTGTTCAGAGATAAATCTAACATCGCCTGTTACTAATAAAGTGGTCTAAGAGTCACAGATTTGAAAGAGGGCTTAGAGAACACTTAGCCTAAATTTTTCATTTTATAGGTGAGGCTTGGAGAAGCCTGCGGGATTGCCCGGTGACGCAGAGGGACCTGGGACTGAAAGAGTCAGCCATATGCCGGATAGGATCTCAAGAGCAAAATCAAATCTTGAGTAGAATGAAGTCAATATGGATGCCGCTGAAATCCATGTCACCTCTGTATTAATAATTTCTCAGCCTACCTACAGTTAGCATTAATCCAAACTGTCATGCTTACTGCACAGCATCCTAGAGGCTTTCAAAAAATTTCCTTAACAGCATGTGGTTACGAATGCTTTTCCGGTGAGGACAGATCTAACATATACAAGTCTAACTTCACTCCCCAAACTATAATCTCTAAAAAAAAAATCAATTCCCAGGGCCTTGCAAAGTATTAGGTTAAGGCAGCGTAGTGGGCAGACTGGGGACCTCTCTAAAAGATAGACCCAACCACGGAACTGATGAATGGGACCTTACTTTGCATAAAAAAAGTCTTTGTGGATATAATTAAGTATTGTGAGATGAGACCATCCTGGGTTACCCAAGTGGGCCCGAAATCCAATGACAGATGTCCTTATAAGAGGCAAAGAAGAGAAGACACAGGGATAAGAGAGGACAGCAGTGTGAAGACAGAGACAGACATCACAGTGAAGCAGCCATGAGCCAAGAAAAGGTACAGCCACCAGAAGCAGGAAAAAGCAAAATTTCCCTCAGGCCTTCAGTAGCAGCACAGCATCTTGATTTAGGACTTCAGGCCTTGAGAACAGTGAGGGAATTAATTTCTGTTGTTTTAAGCCACCAAGTTGGTGCCAATCTGGTAGAGCAGCCCTAAGAAACTTATCTAGGCGGCAGAAGTCAGAGGAAGGAACTTTGAGGTCACTTAAATAATACACAGAGCAGAGCTCAAGAGGGACTATTTTCCCTGTGTTCTTCCCAGCTCTGCTGCTCCTCCCCACACATACTCACCGCTGTTAGCCAGTCTATCCTTTTAATCCTAACAGCACAAAGCAGCGAATGATTTTCAACCAGGAGCAATTGTAGCCCCCAGGGGACATATGGCAATGTCTGGAGACACTTGATTTTGATCATGACTCAGAATGAGAGTACCACTGGCATTAGGGTTAGAAGGCAGAAAAGCTGCTGAACATTCTACCATGCCCAGGTCAGCTCTCCTCAGCCAAGAGTCACTTTGTCCAAAATAGTAATGACATTGCTATAAAGTATCAATGACAATCAAACAGATATGGCCTATTAATTTAGTTATTCCTTCATTTGTGTCATGAATCTTCTCCATGTACTTAGAGGACAATAGAAATGTGGTAAATTTTTAAAAACAGTATAATGCGACACTTGTGGGAGAAAAAGTCCCATTTTTATCTGAGTCACGATTAGTTATGTATCATGAAAAACTGGATAAACTCTGGATAAAATCTAACCTTAGATATTCAAAAATTAACTACCCATGCTGTGTTTTGACTCACAGGGAATTGACAACTGTTATCATCTCATAGATGACTCCAATCTTTTTTTTTTTTTTCTTTTGAGAGAGAGAGAGCAAGAGGGGATAAGGAGAGGCAGGCAGGGGGAGAGAATCTGAAGCAGGCTACACACTCAGAAAAGAGCCCAACGCTGGGCTTGACCTAACGACCCTAAAATCACGACCTGAGCTGAAATCAAAAGCCAGACACTTAACAAACTGAGCCACCAATTGGTGGCTTCAATCTTTAACACTAAGGATTCCATTCTTCAGAATTCAACAGAATGCTGAATTCATAGAAACCATTTTATAACCTTCTATAGTGCACTCTGGCCCTACAATGCATTACCATACAACTAAGAACTGCCCAAAGAGAAAAACTTCCTATAAGCAGACTCATAACACATGAAGGACAGCATAAATCCTGAACAATGGCTCTATAAATCCCAGTGCTGTGAAAGAACTTAACTGTCTCACCTAGGGATCTTAATAATATAACAGCCTTCGATATTTCAGTGTTAGATGAAGAAAAATTATGTTTCAAAGTCAAGTTTTCAAAATTGTCTAAGAATCAATATTGGGGGTAGGCAAGGAGAGGCACTACATGTACTTTTAGGATTCTTTAATGGAAACTAAGTTATTAATGCACCAAAACTGACCATAATATATGGCTATAAAAATGTTTCATAAATGTTTAAAATATGCTTCTCTTTATTAATATTTAACAACCCCATTCATTGAGCTAACAGTATCACGTAATAGCATCAGAGATTTTTAATATATATTAGTAGACTTGTTTCAGATTTAGCATGTAAGGTACTAGTTTTAGTTTTAATCCATATAGCTCATAAAAAGCAAAATCAACCATTGAAAATACAGCCCTCACAGAAAACAGAATCTGAAATTTCTCCATTGACGTACGAGCCATGTTTATTCTTTGAGATATTCTGAAGTAGATTAATAAACAGATTTAAATTTGCATCATAATGAGTGAAAATATGACAGTAAGAGTTATCGTATATAAAAACAAAACTGAGAGATGGCAGAATAATGTAATTTGTGTTTATGAGAAACAAAAACCACAAACCTAAATCCAGACTGCTTTTTGTTAACGAATTAAGATTTTCCAGATCATCAAATCTGCCTTGTTGACTGTTTCCTTCAGATGAGGGTAGGGAACTGATGCCAAAATTTTCTTTCATCTTCAGAGGAAGAAAGACAGAAATGCATTAGTACTGTGTGATAAAGTGAGGAACATTGTAATGTTGTTCAAACCACATAACAACGATAGCAGAAAACTGGCCCTACAAATGTATCTGCAAAGTAACAGGTTAATACAATATATTTCTTTTCTTTTTTTTTTTTTTTACCCTGGATTTTTCTTCAGCAACAAAAAAAAAATACTGTTTTATAAACATTAATGAGTGGATTTAAGTAAATGATCAGAAAGGTATAAGAATAAAGATCTATCCAACCAAGAAAGGTCAATGGCTAACATACAACTAACTCATGGGTCACGCTGGATCACAACCTCAAAAGCTTCACCAATGATCCCAAAACAACTTGGTGGGGGATTTTCATAGCTCTAAGCTCTTGCTTCGCCCTCCCTATCACTTTTATCTGCCTGGTGAATACCAGTTACCCAAACCTAAAATAAAGCACAGTCAATGATTTTTGCGCTTTCTGCTGGTTTTCCTTTGATACATATCTTCTATGGTTTCCAAAAGTTATAATCTTCCAGAACAAACAATCTTCACTAATATATTTTGTTATGATATATTTTTTAAAGGTTTTACTTATTTATTTGAGAGAGAGAGAGATAGTGAGAAAGAGCATGAGCAGGGAGCAAGGAGAGGGAGAAGCAGAAGCTTGATCCCAGGATCCTAGGATCATGACCTGAGCTGAAGGGAGATACTTAACCAACTGATCCACCCAGGCACCCCTATTATTATATCTTACAAACTTTTATAGGCATAAAATGAAATGATACCATCAGGGCCACCAGAGGGACATACCTCAATTAAGATGAGTAACACTGTTATTCTCTATTGTTGGAAATTTAAGTCATTTAAAACAAAAAAGGTGAATGACATCTTTTATACAGTCCATTGTGTACATTAAGTGGTTATATTGGTCAGACTTCAATGGTAAGAGAAGGATGTCTCATAAATTGATGTACCAAATACTGCTAACTTTTTCCATTCAGATTATGAATATAGCTAAGTACAGAACTCTATCAGATATCCAATGGAGCTTATAGAACATAGAATTCAACTCAAATATTAAATTGGGGTGAGAAAGTAGCTACAACAACCTAGCTGTCTATAGAATAAAAGAAGCAAGAAGAATTTCTTAGAGAGGCAATTAAGGAGGAGATGATAGGCACTAAATACTTAGAAGAAATTTTACAGCAAATTTTGGACTTAAAAAATGTTAATGGCAATTTTGTAACAGGAATAAGAGAATTAATATCTGAATCTAAATTTCAATAGAGAGAGTTAACTCCTTAGGAAAATGAGTTTTTCTAAATAGAGAAGAAAATAAGAACATACAATCAGTCTTAGGTAACTAATCCTCAGGCAAGAGTCAGATCTTTTGAAAAGTGGCAAAAAATTTAGACACTCCTCCAGAGAATATATGAAGGTAGCCAATGAGCATATGCAAAATTGCTCAACTTTTCCTAATAATAGTAATTAGAAAAATGCATATCAAAACCACAATAAGATATACTACTTTGCACCTTAAAAAAAAAAAAAAAGAAAAAACAGTTATTGGGGCACCGGGGTGGCTCAGTGGGTTAAAGCCTCTGCCTTCGGCTCAGGTCATGATCTCGGGGTCCTGGGATCGAGCCCCACATTGGGCTCTCTGCTCAGCAAGAGCGTGTTTCCCCCCCTCTCTCTGCCTGCCTCTCTGCCTACTTATCATTTCTCTCTCAAATAAATAAATAAAATATTTTTTAAAAAAAGAAAGAAAGAAAACAGGTATTGGCAGGCATGTGGAAAATTTGTGTACTATGGGTGGGAATATAAAATGGTGCAACTACTGTGGAACTAGGACAGTGGTTCCCCCAAAAAATTAAACAGAGACTTGCCATATGGATCTAGCAATTTAACTTTTGGGTATATACACCAAAAAATTTTTTAAAATAATCATTTGAATTATACCTTTCTGATCATTTACTTAAATCCACTCATTAATCATTTAATAATCACTGGCATTTATACCAGTGCTTGCAGCAGTATTATTCACAGTAGCCAGAAGGAGAAATAATCCAGATGTTCATTGACTGATGAATGGTTAAACAGACTTGCATACACACACACACACACACACACACACACACACACACAGTGGAATATTATTCAGCCTTATAAAGGGAGAAAATTCCAAAACATGCTACAATGTGGATGAACCTGGAAGGCATCATGCTAAATTAAATAAGCCTCACATAAGAAGACAAATACTCTATGATTCCACTTAAATGAGGTACCTAAAGTCATCATAATTCTTAGAGAAAGAAAGTAGGACTATGGCTGTTTGCCAGGGGATGCAGAAGGGGAGAATGGATAGTTACTGTTTAATAGGTACAGACTTTCAATCTGGGAAGAATGGAAAAGTTCTGGAGATGGATGGTGATAATGGCTGTACAATAATGCAAGCATATTTAATGCTACTAGAACTGTAAGCCTAGAAATGGTTAAAGTGGTAAATTTTACGCACAGTAGCCCCTCCTTATCTGTGGGAGATATATATCCCAAGACTCTCAATGGGTGCCTGAAACCAAGGATAGAACCAAACCCTGTATATACTATTTTTAACTCTATATACATACCTATGATAAGGTTTAATTTATAAATTAGGCACAGTAAGAGATTAGCCACAATAACTGATAATGAGAACAATTATATTGTAATAAGAGTTGTATAAATGTGGTCTCTTTTGCTCTCAAAATATCTTAATATACTGTGCTCACCCTTCTTTTTATGATGATGATGTGAGATTATAAAATGCCTAAGTGGTAAGATGTAGTGAGGTGAATGATGCAGGCATGTGTTAGGCTACGGCTGCTTCCAGACCTCAGCTGAACACAGGTAACTGAAATTGTGGAAGTGAAACCAGAGATGGGGGGTGGGGTGCGGGGACAGAAGGGGCTACTGCAATGTGTATTTTACTACAAGTAAAAATAAAGAACCAGGGGTGCCTGGGTGGCTCAGTGGGTTAAGCCTCTGCCCTCAGCTCAGGTCATGATCTCAGGGTCCTGGGATCGAGCCCCACATCGGGCTCTCTGCTCAGCGGGGAGTCTGCTTCTCCTTCTCTCTCTGCCTGCCTCTCTGCCTACTTGTGATCTCTCTCTCTCTGTCAAATAAATAAATTAAAAAAATAAATAAATAAAGAACCAGATCTAGAAATCTTGATGGTTTTATCCTTCAACTAAAATGGAATAAGGGAGTAGTAGAGAAAGGTAAATCTAAGTAGCTGGGTAGTATTTGCACTCTACAAATATAGATATATCTGTAACCCAAAATGGGTATTATAATGAAGGCAGAAGTGATAATGTTACTCGACCCTTCTGGAAGGCACTCTCTAAAGGAGTACTGAGAATTACATATTTTGTAAGGTATTCAAATGTTTTAACAATCTACCCAAGGCTTGTAATATTAGATAATAAATTTTCATCACACGAGTACCCTTCTGACAGGAGGGCAAATAAAGATTCAAGTCCATCCTGATCTTATGTGTGTAACTGTTATAGAGAATTAGACCACTCTATCAAAAATATGCCACTCTGGCATAAAGATTATTCTGAGAGGACAAAAAAAGAGAAACAGCACATACAGAAAAGCTATCTTCCCGTGACTGTTAATCATCAAAGATGAATCTAGATTTTTTCTAGCCCAGAGATGGCAGCAAGAGGAACATATTAACAAGCCTAACTAAAAAAAGCCCTTATCTTCCATCAATTCCCCCTTATAATTACCTTCCTGCAGCTGTGACCTTAAAACCTAAACTCCTCTTCCTTTGTCTTGTCACTTCTCAATAAATGTATCATTCTTTGTTAAGAAGCTATATAAGCCCAAGCTCTAACCACCCCTTTGAGTTACTCATCACTGAGTTTGTACTGCATGAGTGCATGCCACACTAGTTAATAAATTGTCTTTTTTTTTTTAAGATTATTTATTTATTTATTTGACAGAGAGAGATCACAAGTAGGCAGAGAGGCAGGCAGAGAGAGAGGAGGAAGCAGGCTCCCCGCTGAGCAGAGAGCCCGATGTGGGGCTCGATCCCAGGACCCTGGGATCATGACCTGAGCCGAAGGCAGAGGCTTTAACCCACTGAGCCACCCAGGCACTCTAATAAGTTGTCTTTCTTTTGTTAATCTTTCATCAGCTCAATTTCCAAGGCCCCAGCCAAAGAACCAATGAGGGTAGAGGAAAAACTTTCCTCCTTTACACTGCCATCATTGTGGAGTTCAGGAAAGGAGGAAAAGAGTGCCCAAAACAAGAAGATATAATTATTTAAAGAAAATAAAATATTGTGTAGACAAGACATATTAGGGCTGAAAGTAATTTTTTTAAAGAGAGAGTGTGTAAGTTGGAGGGGAGGGGAGGAGCAGAGGAAGAGGGAGAGAGAAAGAATCCCAAACAGGCTCCTGACATGGAGCCCCATGTGGGACTCAATCTCACAACCTGAGATCATGACCTGAGCCAAAACCAAGAGTTGCACATTTAATCGACTAAGCCACCCAGGCACCACTGGGGTGGAAACAAGTTTAATCAGTGCCGTTTTAGAGAGCTTATAGGTCACCTCACAGAATCAGAAATAGAAAAGAAAAAAAAGAAGCTAGGAAATTTAACACAGATTTAGTAATTAGGATGCATGTCTTTCAAATTGTGAGCAATGAATGTTGTTATAAACAAGCTTTTTTAAATAGCACTTTAACAAACAATAGAGTAAATGGTTATATAGTGAAGATCATCACTATGCACTTACAAAAGGAATTTTAAGCCTATTGTTATGCAAATGAGTACTTGAGATCAGGAAAAAATTCTGACTGATAGTATGGATTCAAAAATTACTGTATCTCAAACAACCTAGATGAAAATTAAGATGATATATTCCGAAAACTGTATTAAATGACGGGAAGGTGCTTCTAGTGATAATGTATTTATGGATATAAATATGCACTGAAGCCATCTGAACACAATTATGTCATTAAATGTGAGAACAGGCAAAAAATTTAACATTTGGGAGTTTAAAAAATGTTAATGCTTAAATTTATAAAGTAAATACTGTGAATGTACCTGTGACTATTTAGTCTAGAACCCTAAAAGTTTATATACTAAAATGGGCCTCTACTTCAGGTTGCCTTATATTTGGGTAAAGAGAAAATTTTTTTTTTGTAGATGAAAGGCACAACAAATGAGTATTTATGAATATTCACTAATCTGTGATAAGAATTTGCTCTATATAACTGAATATTCTGTTTGGGTTCGAGTACTTACAGATACAGGAATGGGACTGGCAAGGAAAGAAAGCACCAATGTCAATGGCAACACACCAGGTGATTCTCTGACACCTCTGCCCATATCCAGGCATTATTCACATAATCCCAAAACATCTGTTCTCTGGTAGATTGCCCACAGTCCGCTAATCCTCTTGCGTTCCATTAAGCACAGCTTGTATAGCACCTTGCATAGAAGAAGAACCCATAGCATTTGCAAAAAAGGGGGAAAGAAGGATAGGTCTGAGGAAGGAGAGAGCAAAGAAACTAGCTCTATGGGCCCTCTGAGAGAGCAAAGAAAAGCATGCTCCCTACAGCACTGCAAGAAAGTTGCTGATCTCAGTGTGGGGAGTACTGCACTGTATCTAAACATACTGCTAAATGACCTTGTAAAAAAATACCCCTAGGAGCTCCTACGTGAGTCAGCTGGTTAAGTGTCCAACTCTTGATTTCAGTTCAGGTCATGATCACAAGGTCGTGAGATCAAGCCCCATGTTGGGCTCTGCACTGGTCACGGAGCCTGCTGGATTCTCTCTCTCCTTCTCCCTCTGTCCCTATACACTCTCTCTCCCTCTCTTAAAAAAAAAACAAAACAAAACAAAGCACCTCTATACAATAATTTTCTTGTCATTTCCCTGGAAGTTAATCTGGGTCATAAAATGAACAAACAAATCTAAAACATTAAAAATGTCCCTAATGAAAATTTCCAATTGGTGCCCAGTTAACCCTAATTTTATAAAAATAAAGTTTATTGGTGATCCCCATAGCAAGGGCAAACCTACTGAAATATAATGCTTTCCTGCCAAGTTGAAAATAGGCAATAACACAAATGTAAAGATAATTTTTAAGAGTTCAGAGACCTTCTATTTAGTATCATATATAACACAGAAAACAGTGTGGATAAACAAGACATAAACAATGTATCTTGAGTCAATTTTGCCTTGACTTTCCTTGATAAATATAATACACAATATGAGAAATATGGAGCCCTGTCTCTCTGAGGGAACAAAAAAAATCACAAATGTCAAAAGAACTCTTCTTTGAAATGGATAATCTGGAGAAACACATCATTAAAAAAACAAAAAACAAAACAAAAACAAAGCAAAACCCCCCCTATAAACCACCATAAAAGGCACTTGCAGCTTACTGACTCTTACCAGGAGTTGTGTAATACAGAAAAGATGAGTTTATACTTAGTTCAGCATTACACTATGTGGTACATCTTGGAAAAATGATTAATTACAAAAATTATATTTTCCATTACATTTTGTTCTTTTGAAAGTTACATGACTTTGGAACAGGGGTTGGGAGGCAGGGGAAGGAGGAGGAAAGTGGAAGAACCGTTCTCATCCCTTACCGTGTTTTCCATGCTGTAGCCGTACTGCTGCGCTTCTGGGGAGTAAAGACTCACCATGGATCTTGCTCCCTGAAGCTCAGGTGGTTCACTGTCATGCAACCACTGAGTGCCAAAGTGAAGTTCCTTCACAGAGGGAACAGGAGCAGCCTCTTGAAGGTGTGATGAGGGATACAAGTCCATGGACTGCAAGGGATCTTGATATAGCTCATATTCGTCATCAACAAGCATCTCTCTCTCTTCCCCCATCTCCTGCAATCTAGGAATCAGAAATTCATGCATCTCCCAGGCCTCCTTGCTGTGGTCTATCTCTTTCTGTTGGGACTGAAAAGCCTTTCCCAAATTGAGGAATGGCTCATCTACAAGTTCTTCTTTATAATAGGGTTCATCTCTAAATTCCTGTAAATAAAAGTTGCAAAAATTATTTTTTTTTGCAGTGGCACTCTACGGGGATTCGCTAGAAAGTTAACCCCTGACAGAACCTCAGTGACTATATTCCTCGCCCAGGCACAGTTACCTGGAACGGCTCTCCATTACAAAGGAGAAGTAAGTGCTCCCTCCTACACAACCCTCAACGCAAAGAAAGGGACAAACAGTAAGAGGCAGCAATCTGCCCTTCAACAAGGTGAAAGACTATTCCAAAAGGTCTGTTACACATTAACCACCTGAAAATTCTCAATCAGAAATAGGAATTTTGTTAACCTGCTGCACTGAACATTTGGCTCATACATCTTATACAGAAGTAGTACATAAACATGGACACGCATCATATCTAAGAAAGCAAAGATTTAAAAAGTCAGGATTTTCAAGCTTATGTAAAACTCAGATGGAATTATGGCTATTGAAATTATCAAAAAGCAGTATCTATAAATATATGAGACATATGTCCCAACTACCTTGAGTATGACTATTTTATAATATGCCCTGATACAGAAATGTTTATTTAATTTAATTTGACAGAAATCACAAGTAGGTAGAGAGGCAGGCTCCCCGCCAAGCAGAGAGCCCAATGTGGGGCTCAATCCCAGGACCCTGAGACCATGACCTGAGCCTAAGGCAGAGGCTTAACCCACTGAGCCACCCAGGCACCCCCAGAAATATGTTTTTTCAACTGTACTGAAATTATATGGCAAAAAGGAATGAATATAGTATGCTTTTTAATTAATTTATATTTCACTAATTAGAAGTACATACAACTGAAACTAGTCATACATGTGCAGAAACTTTGCTGAGTTCCTAGGTAATGCCTGAGGAATGTATGGATTTGTGCAGCCTCTAATATAACCCTGGGGATCCTGAAGAGTGCTAAGCACAAGGAGGCTCAATTCCTCTTGAGAGATCAATGACATTTCCTACAGACCCTATTCATTAAATATTACCAAATGCAAATTCATGGAATGAATCTACTACTTCCCACCTTTAAATTATTATAGTGTATCAAATATTGCAAGCCAGCTAATTTTTTTACAGGTGTGCTTACAGGGTATATTTGAAGATGTCATACACTTATGAAATTTTAACAAAAAATGTCTAAACTAAAAAAAAAACCCACAATGTATAGTACAGAAATAAGTATCAGCTTGAGGCACTGTCAATAAATTATGCAAAGACTATCACCAGACGGTTGTTATCAGGTAAGGCAATACCATACTCTACCTTCAAAGAGCAAAATAACCACAATTCATATTCAGAATAAAAAAGGAAAAGCTTCAAAATACACTTCCTAAAATTAAAGCGGAAAGAAAAGTTTGACTAAGTAACTCTTCTATAGGAAGTATTCGGTAAGAAGTCCTTTAGTATAGCTCTGTTTTCTACAGCATTTTAAATGCATGCCTATTTTCAAACACTGTGTTCTCTCCTCAAAATTTTAAGAGTGCATCTGTAGTATAAAATAAGGTATGTTTGTGCTTTGAAAATGCCTTATATCTGGCCTACGTCATTTATGAAGCCACTGAGATACAAGAGGGAAAACAGTTCATTTAAAAAAAAAAAAAAAAAAAAAGCGGGATGCCAGGTGGCTCAGTCCTTAAGTGTCTGCCTAAGGCTAAGGTTATGGTCCCAGGGTCCTGGGATGAAGCCCCGTGTTGGGCTCCCTACTTAGCTAGAAGCCTTACTCTTCCTCTGCCACTCCCCCTGTTTGTGTTCCCTCTCTCACTGGCAAATAAGTAAGTAAAATCTTTTTAAAAAATCAAAAAATAAAATAAAATAAACAAAAAAGAGGATCATTTAATTTATATCTCTTTAGCCAAGAGTGAGAACAAGCTTTTGTATTCTTTATAGAAATGTTAGCTCCCTGCAAACCATTTGAATATGAAATTGATTTACTAAATACCTTGGGTGCTTCAAGTATCAAAGATGAATTTATGTCATGAATTGTTTCCGAAAGTTCAGTCTTGTCTTCATCGTTGTTTGAATGTAAAATATAATGACTTTCTTCCTCTTTATCATCTTCCTGAAAACAGAAACAATTTTAATTTTATTTTTTTGAAAGATTTTATTTATTTATTTGAGAGAGAGAGCGCGTATGAGAGAGCAAGGGGGGGAGGCGGTGGAATGCAAGAGGGAGGAGCAGACTCCCTGCTGAGTAGGGTGTCTGCAGGGCTCAATTCCAGGACCTTGGGATCATGACCTGAGCCAAAGGCTGAGGCTCAACTAACAGCCACCCAGGCACCCCTGGAAAAAAATATTTATTTATTTATTTATTTACTAATTAGCACAATTGTAGAGATGTTTTTGTCAACACGAAGCTATCTTTTACCAAGATATAACTGACACATAACATTATACAACATAATAATTAGATGTATGTATATATTGCAAAGTTGTAATAAATTTAATTGTATCTAAAACTTTCGAATATACAATATGGTCTTGCTAACCAAAGTGATCATGGTGTACATTACATCCCCAGGACATATTTATCTTATGACTGGAAGTTTGCACCTTTTGACGACCTTCATCCATTTTACCCACCCCTTCCCACCTCTGGCTACTATAGGAAGAACTCTTATAATCAAGAAAATACTCTTGAACTCTCTTCAGATTAATTCTCATCTTTCCATTAAGTGCAAGGACACAATAAAACTTACACAAATTGTTTCATGAGAACAAACTTTTCTTTAATAATTAAAAAGAACTCCATATTTGTGTCAAAGCTTCTCATTTTTTCTTTTTAAGTATTCCTAAAAGTACATGCAAAAGAATGAAACTGAACCATTTTCTTTCACCATACACAAAAATAAACTCAAAACGGATTAAAGACTTAAATGTGAGACCTGAAACCATAAAAATCCTTGAAGAAAGCATAAGCAGTGATCTCTCTGACATCAGTTGTAGGAACATTTTTCTAGATATGTCTCCTCAGGCAAGGAAATAGAAGCAAAAATAAACAATCAGGGCTACATCAAAATAAAAAGTTTGTGCATGGCAAGAGAAACAATCAACGAAACTAAAAGCCAGCTACAGAATACGAGAAGGTATTACAAATGACATATCCAGTAAAGGGTTAGTATCCAAAATACATAAAGAACTGATACAACTCAACACCCCAAAAAAATCCAGTTAAATAATCCAATTAAAAAATGGGCAGAAGGGGCGCCTGGGTGGCTCAGTGGGTTAAGCCTCTGCCTTCTGCTCAGGTCATGATCTCAGGGTCCTGGGATTGAGCCCCACTGGGTCTCTCTGCTCAGCGGGGAGCCTGCTTCCCCCTCTCTCTCTCTGCCTGCCTCTCTGCCTACTTGTGATCTCTCTCTCGCAAATAAAATCTTGAAAAAAAAAATGGGCAGAAGACATGAACAGACGGAAGACATACAGATGGCCAGAAATACGACGTGATCTAGTAATTCCACTATTGAGTATTTACTCAAAGAATAAGAAAACACTAATTTGAAAAGATACATGCATCTTTATGTTTATTAGAACATATTTACAATAGCCAAATTTGGAAATAAGCAGCTCAAATGTCCATCAATAGATGAATGGATAAGGAAGATGTGTTGTATAAATAAACAATGGACTGTTATTCAGCCATTAAAAAAAATGAAATCTTCCCATTTACAACATGGATGGAGCTAGAGAATAGAATACTAAATGTAATAAGTCAGTCAGAGAAAGGAAAATACCAAGCGATCTCATCACTCATACGTGGAATTAAGAAACAAAACAAACAAGCAAAGGAAAAAAAAGACAAACGAAGAAATATACTTATTTTTTAATGATTTTTATTTATTTATTTGACAGAGAAGGTGAGCGAGCAAGCACAAGCAGGGGGAGCAGCAGGCAGGGGAGAAGCTGACTCCCCACTAAGTAAAAAGCCCAATAGGGGGCTCGATCCCAGAATCCTGGGATCATGACCCGATCCGAAGGCAGATGCTTAATCAACTGAGCCATCCAGGTGCCCTGAAACAGACGCTTAACTATAGAGGACAAATTGATGATTACCAGGATGGGGCGGGGGGGGATGGAGGAACAGATGACGGGCACTTACCGTGATGAAAAATTAATAGATAGATAGATAGAGAAATAGATAAATAAGTAAATAAACTTTTTAAAAAGAAAATTCAACAGAAGTACAAATTAGAGTTTCACATGTTTGTCAGATATAAGATCAAATTACCGAGTCAGTATCATTACCTCTACTTCAGCAATAGCTAGTTTGAAAATGTAACAGAAAATAAGACATTATTCACAAAGGAGGGGTAAAAGCAGTAAATTATCTCAGAATTAAACTAAAAAAGACTGTACGGCACATTTAAGGAGAAAAGAGTAAAAGAAGATCTGACTAAAGAGAAACATACTATGTGGGGGGGGGGGGAAGTATTCCTTAAATTTAAAAACATACCAAAAAAGGAACTTAATATTAAAAAATATCATATGGGGCACCTCGGTGGCTCAGTTGTTAAACGTCTGCCTTCGGCTCAGGTCATGATCCCAGGGTCCTGGGACTAAGCCCTGCATTGGGCTCCCTGCTCAGTGGGGAGTCTGCGTCTCCCTCTCTCTCTCTTCTGCCCGCCCCCCCGCTTCTGTTCCCTCTCTCTCAAAGAAATAAAATCTTAAAGACAAAAAAAAAAAGAAGACGACTTATCAGTATAGGGGCACTTCTGTGGCTCAGCTGGCTGAGCATCCAACTCTTGGTTTTGGCTCAGGTCATCATCTCAGGGTCATGGGACTGAGCCCCATATAGGGCTCCGTGCTTGGTATGGTGTAGGCTTGAGATTCTCTCCCTCCCTATCTGCCCCTCTTCCCACTCACACTCTCTCTCGCTAATAAATAAATAAAATCTTTTCTAAAAAAAGAAATGTAAAAAAAAAAAAGGAAAAAAAGAAATGTATCAGTACATACAGGATAATATCAAAATATTTAACAAAGGTACAGTGCAGTCACTTGCCATCTGAAAAGTTTCAGCCATCCTGGTATCTACCAGCTCAATAGCAGTCCTAGGTCAGAACATAGCTACCATTTATGAAGTCCTAGCTCTAAATCACGATCCATGGTAAACACTTCATATGCTTTGTCTCAACTTAATTTTCAAAGCAATCCAAGTCAGGGCTTTATATTTTGTATTTATATAAAAATAGTGGCAAAATATATATATACTTATGACACTATGTGCCAGACATTGGTTTAAACATTTTAAATATTCAATTTAGTATATTCATTAACATATTAATATACATTCTAAAAAGTAGGTAGTCTTATTAACCCTAGTTTACAGATGAGTAAAAAATTACATAACTAATCAGTTACACACCCAGAATTGGAACTATCCGGCTTTACGGTCTGGGATCTCAACTATGTCATGCAGTCCCCACATTATAGACAAGGAAGTGGGAGCTGATGAGGTTAAAGAATTGGCAAATCACAGAACTAAGCAGAAACTCACAGCTGTCTGGCTCAAGAACTCCATCGCCAGCTCTGACCTATTAGTTCCAAAGATACAATGCAGTTTTTAAAGTCAGTTCATTCGTTTTTCTGGATATGGTGTATTTGAGATGAATTTGTAGAAACGAGAAGATAAATCCCATTCATGATTAACATGAAAATATATAATATGAAACACATTATATAGACAATGTATAACAATATAATACCTGACTTAATAAAAAAATTCATGTTCTCCTAACTTTTATATATTCATAGTCTTTCTGGCCCAAGATGACTTTGGGCCACCTTCTTCACAGTCTCCTCCCTACTTCTGCAGAGGACTAAGTGAATGCTCATTACATGATAAGGCCCACCAAGTGGGCCACCAGAGAGACTGAGACCTTAATGAAGATCTATATGTATCACTATTTACAGCTCATGAGCAAACAGTTTTGCTAAAGGTACTCGGAAATTAAAGAAGGAATTAATGGTAATTCCATTAAATTTTTTAAAGATTTTATTTATTTATTTGACAGAAAGAGAGTGTGTTCACAAGTGGCCAGAGCAGCAGGCAGAGAGAAAGGAAGAAGCAAGCTCTCCGCTGAGCAGGGGATCTGAAGCGGGACTCAATCCCAGGACCTTGGGACCATAATCTGAGCTGAAGACAACAGCTTAACTGACTTAAGCCACTCTGGCACCCATCCACTAAGAATTTTTTAGAGTCCTAAAAGTGACCTTTGTCTTCATACCTTTTGTGGCTTCCCACTCCCCTACTCACAAAGAAGAGTCTAGGCAAAGGTCCACCTCACAATTACGACGTTCCAAAACCCTCTCAGAATGCGGCTCTGATATCCTGAAGTCTCTTCAGCTCTCCCTCCACCAGAAATAGCCCAGGAATCTGCACCCAGGCAGTAACGAAGCTCTGATTTCTGTACCAACTGACACATCCCTCAAGTGCTTCAGAGTAAAGTCATGCTGTTTTAGGCCTCCAGGACATAAATAGTTTGGGATTTCCTCTGGCAGCCCAAGTAACCGGGCAAGTACTCATCAGGGAAAATTGAGACAACAACCCCCTACCCCTGCCACAACCATGAAGATGAGATCTCCATAAAGACATCAAGTTCCTCCCTGCAAATGAATTTGTCCAGAAATCAAACTAGGCAACTCCTGGTGTCTCATGTTGGCTATGGCAACACCCATATATATATATATATATAGAAGACAAAGTCAAGAACTTTGATTAGCTATGTGCTATACTCCATTTTGAAATATTTAGAGTGTCTGATAGTATAACATACCGGCATCTTTATGGGGAATTCATGAAGGCCATGTTGAGGATCCCCAACACATAAATACTACATGTAATACAGGAGCTATCTCTATCTATATATCTGTACCTACATATCTGTAAATGAAGATATTTATCTATATTTACCTATACATATGGACATGTGTGGTATGTTAACATATTCATATAACTTATTAATATATTTCATAGAAAAAAAGAATCTTAGAGTTAAGAAAGATTTTAGCAGTCCTCTAGTCTTGGTCAGTCTTTTCAGAGATGAAGAAATGGGCTCAGAGAAGAAAGGTAGTATAATGATGATCAAATTACTAGGACAGGGGCGCCTGGGTGGCTCAGTCATTAAGCGTCTGCCTTTGGCTCAGGTCATGATCCCAGGGTCCTGGGATTGAGTCCCGCATCAGATGCCCTGCTCAGCGCGGAGCCTGCTTCTCCCTCTCCCACTCCCCCTGCTTGTGTTCCCTCTCTCACTGTGTCTATCAAATAAATAAAATCTTAAAAAAAAAAAAAATTACTAGGACAACGTTTCTCAAAGTGTGAAATTCTTCATCAGAATTATAGGGGTAATTCACTGAAGAGGCAGATCCCTCAACAGCACATCCCAATGACCAGATGAGAATCTCTGAGGGTAGGACCTCCAAAACTGCATTTTAGCCAACTCCCAGGTGATCCTCATGTATATTACATATCTTTGCACTGAAACCTACTGGGCTGACTCATAGGAAAGGTAGAAACGGAGTCCAGGTTTCTTAAAATCCAGTTTAACACTTTACTAAGACCATCTCTCTGTTTCCAGAAGGGCTGCATGCAAACTAAATTCACAACAAGTTAAATATACAGCACTGTGGTCTGAAGCCCCCTGAGTTTATACCCCAACTCTGTCCCTTACTAGCTACATCACTGAGGATAAGCTGCTCAACTCTCTGTGTCCTGATGGCCTCATCTTTAATCTCTTCAAGTTGCCAGGAAGATTAAACTAGTTAATACATGTAAAAGTTTTAAAATACTGACATACAGTAAGCACTCGAGAGTATCTTCATACTGCTTGCAAATTATCATCAAGTATTTTGTTGCATTGCGGAACCTCAGAAGCACCCTAATTGTAATATGGCCCTTAGTCATAAACACTAATCTGACCTGGTACACAAGGATAAGCAGTAAGAGAACTTCAAGATGACCTGACCACACGGAGTTCTAGATGCTAGGGGTTATTAAGGCACTTTGATGGGCAGAAGAGCATATTCAAATCCCATTGCCTACAGTTAAAACAATATAGTTAACTGGATTTTAACTTATCATGCCATCTCAACATCATTTCCAAGTGAAAGTTAAAATGCATAGACTTTTGAAATTTACATCATAAGGAATATGATGAGAACGTGCAGATCTGTGCTAATATTATGAAGACAAAGATAGTAGTAAAAGCTAAAGGACTAGCAACATTAGTAGCTACTATTTATATAACAATGTGCACACACTTAATCTTTAGTCCCCAAAATCTTATGAGACAGGTATTACGTTTCTAACTTTTTAAGTCAAGGACCTAAGAAACTTCTCTTAGGACACAGAGAAAATAAGCTGTGGAAGAGGGATTTGAAACCAGGTGTATTTGTCTCCAAAATCCATGTTCTTAAGTATTACACTATTATCACGTCCTATATTAACAACATTGAACACTTACCACCAAGGGCTTACAGATGCCGAGGCGTACAATGCCTGGCGGCACAGCTTTCAACACGTCCACAGCTTCGGCAAGTGTGGTGTTTTCCAAACAGTATTCATTAACTGAGACCAGGCGGTCCCCAGGTAATAGCTCTCCCCCTCTTTCTGCAACACCATCTGCCACCAGGGAACGGATCACAATCACTGATCTTGTGGGATCTAAAGGGTCCTAAGGATCAAGCCAAGAAGAAAGGTAAGTCAGTTTCTGAAAACGCATAGACTCATGAATCTGATTTCACTATTTACAGTAAGTATCCAGCATTCTGGGGATATTCTTCCAAAGAGGTCAAAAATCTATTACAGTATCACTCTATACATCCACACAAATATCATTTTATATCAAGGCAGAAACATCATCTTAACAATTTCAGCTATGTGTCTGAGGGTTCAATACCTACAAATTTCTTTTTTGAACTTTCGGTGACTGGTATTTTATTGGGCCACAAGAAGTCTGATGACAGTTGAACAAGACTCTCTGATATCCTCACGCACAGTCATATTATAGGCCAAAGACAAGTCTGCTCTTGGGCAATAAGTAGGCTCTAAGAGAAGGAACTACGGTAAATGAAACTTCACTTTTTATGTATTCCACCAGTATAAAATCCTCATGCTAAATCAAAGAAGTTCAAAAAAGATATGGAATCCATGGAATATTCCACTGTATGAAAAAAGGAGCTTAAAAATAACACAGCTGCAATTCATAACATATAAATTGTAACATGGTATAGGGACCCCTTGGTGAGAACTATTCTGATACAAGAAAATAAGCATCACTTCATGAACAAAACCAATGTGAAAATAATTCTGATCCACTGGAAAGGCCCCATTTTTCTTTTTATTTAGCAGCCCAAAAGATAATGTTGACATTCAATAAATGCATTTGATTAATAAGAACAAATTTATAGTCCATTATTTTTTATTTTGTTAGACACTGATATATAGTACTATGTGTCAGGCTCTATTTTAAGTGCTTTACTTAACACTTGTCTATGTTTCTACAGATGAGGGGACTGAGGCTCAGAAAGTTAAGGAAACTTGCCAAGATTACCCATCTGGTAAGTGGCAGAGCTAAGATTCAGATCCAACCAGGCTGGTTCCCAAGTCCTTCCTCTTAACTACCATGCTCTGCTACTTGTTCCACATTAAAATAATGGTATAACTACTAAACCTCAAACTTAATAAGGGAGAGAAAAAAAATCATCAGACCCCAGGTGAAATACTTGTTTTTATTTTGTTCCTACTGTTTCATTACGTACATACTCTTCCATAAAGGCAAGGTGTAGTAACATGAGATTCTACTACTGTTGAACCCTTCCTGACAAATGAGAGACCAACGGCCATGTTTTATGTTAGAATCAGAAGACTTTGTAATCAACAAAATGAGAATCTGCCAAGTTCCAGGCTGTCAGTTTGAAGTGGCTGATGGTTCTTTTGAGTTTTCTGATACACTTTTCATAGACCTCTGTGTTTTAGACATCAAGGTTCATTTTCAAGTACTATATGGAATTTTAACCAAATATATATAAATCAAAAAAAGTGATACAGCTAATTCCTTGAAAAATGCCTTCAAACAGAACTTATCTTACTCTCCTTAACCTTGCTTCTCTGCTCCAAGGTCAAGAGATTCTTGGTATATCTCTAACATGCTCTGATGTGTAACACCTCATATTCAGGAAGAGGATGGAAAGTAAAAATAGTCAGGAGTACTCGGTAACAAAGTATACAGTGTCGAACTATAATTACACCAATATTTTCAAGTAGAGGGAGCTATTGCATAGGAAGAGAAAAGAAAAGAACAAAAAAAAAAGTACAGTGGTATATCAGCAGGCAATCAGCACAGATATAAAAGAGCTGTCTATTTTGTCACCGGCAACCATGAATCACAACACACTTTTCATTCTGAAATATGAAACCATTACATTTTAAGTTTGACACACTAATAAATAAGCTGTACAATTATGTCCTTCATTTAGGATGTCAGCTTGTGATGAAAGGCTTTTTTATTAGGGGGGAAGGGAAACTACATAATAGCATATTCCCCTCATGAAATGCACAGAAAGCAACTAGCATTACTTCATATTAATAATTACTAAACTTTCCCAGAGAAAATTGCAACAGTAAAATATACCAAAAGCAAATAAATGATTTCACCAGCTTGGTACAAGCAATCTCTGCAGTTTCATGAACACCAAATCAAAAAGCACTATTTTTACCCCAACTAGATGAATAGGTTTTCAAAATGCAACCAGCTGAAATGATAATTAGAAACATTTCAAAGAAAGATTAACAGGGCAATAACAGAAATGGAACGATTAATAGATTTCCCTTATTACAAAAAAGTCACGGTAAGCATTCATTTATACAAAGTACAGTCTTCTTTTGGACCTTAAACTATACCAGGTGTGCTTGCTTACTAAAATTTATTCAGGCTGAGACCTCTAGTTATTCTCAACACTAAGTCTAATCTACCACCCCTTTTCCTAGAGGAGAGAACTCAAGGGCCGCTCCTTTGTCAAAAAAAAAAAAGGACAAACCATCCACTTCTGAAGATGCTCCATTATGTATAATCACTATTTCATTTTCTGTGATGACTTTTCTGATGGTGTGATTTCTCAGGTAGCTGAATGAAGCTGCTTTAATGAGGAACAGTCATTTCCTTTCATCCTCATCATAGGTAGTAGCTGCCCTATGGAAAAAGAACAGCTACTGCCTACTGGGATGACAGCTATTCTTTTTTTTTTTTTTTTTAAGGCAAAACCCTACTTTTTTTTTTAGTTTTTTATAATTATTATTTTTGCTTATTCGCCTTTTTATTTTTCTATTATCATATAATGTATTATTTGTTTTAGGGGTACAGGTCTGTGATTCATCAGTCTTACACAATTCACAGCACTCACCATAGCACATATCCTCCCCAACGTCCATCACCCAGCCACCCATCCGACTGCTATTCTTGAGGCTTTGATGCATAAAAAAAGGCTGAAAAACCAGCCTGATTTAGGCTCTTCGTCATCAGGAAGGTCTGTTTTCTGAAAATGTAGCCCACAATAGCATATACATGTTGTAGCAAACAAAATGTTATGACGATATTTCTTAAGACCTCTACCCAACTGCGAGACCCCATGCAGATTTTTTTTAAAGTCCCCATCAGTTTTTATCACCTTTTATCACAATTTTAATACCTCTAATTCTTACTGTTTTGATAAATAACACTGCAAGGAACATTGTTTTCCAGATTCAACATTGTTTTAGACTAAGCAGTCAACAGAGGGCACTAAAGACTAATCACAGAACACAAGAAACAGCATCTTTCACTATGCTAGCCATTCTCTTCTGAAAGATTTTTTCTTGTTTATTCAAAAGGCTTATATTATTATTCACATTATAACAGCATTCCCTATGTTTGCCTCAACTCCACCGTTTATGAAAGTTGCTCCCTACAGCTCTTAAAAATATTATTGAACTCTAACAATCAATTAAGAACTGCTAACCTCCCTCAGACACCAGACCAGAAGACAGGAGATCTGACTTGAATTCTTCTCACTACTCAGATATGAAATCCTGAAAACCCAATTAACTGCTCTGTCTCACAAGTGAATACAATCACTGTATCTGCTTGAAGAAAAGTGCACATAAGAATTTTTGAGGTTTGCTGAAGTGACATTCATGTTTGATATTATAAACACAGGATGTTTCCACGTAGGGAAAATCCAAGTTGACAGAGTCCTCTCCTCCCAAAAGCGAGTGGCATTACCATATACCCAAGCATTCAGTTAATTCCTCTCCCCTCACCCCTCCACTGAGCTGCTAGCTGAAGCATGTCAGTTTGATCTTCTATCTTTTCCATCTGACCTTTCTCTCCATTTCCGCTGCCACTACCTTGGTTTAGCTTCTCATTATTTCTTGCCTAGGCAACTGCTAATCTCCCCATCTCTGCTCTTGCCCTCTTCAGTCTATTTTCCACAGAGATAAAGGAATAATCTTCAAAAATAAAAATGTGGCGCTCCTGGGTGGCTCAGTCAGTTAAGCGTCTACTCTTGATTTTGGCTCAGGTCATGATCTCAGGGTCGTGAGATCGAGCCCTGCATGAGGCTCTGCACTGGGCATGGAGCCTTCTTAAGATTCTCTCCCTCTTCCTCTCCAGTGCCCACTCCCTCACCCCTCTGCTCACACGCATGCTCTCTCTCTAAAAAAATAAAAATTGGGCACCTGGGTGGCTCAGTCAGTTAAATGAATGACTCTTGATTTTAGCTCAGATCATGATCTCTGGATCCCGGGATCCTGACACTCCATGCTCAGCACAAAGTCTGCTTGGGATTCTTTCTCCTTCTCCCTCTGCACCTCCCCCTCTCACACTCTCCCTCTCTCATTCTCTCAAATAAATTAATCTTTAAAAAAATAAAAATAACAAAATTAATAAAAATTCTAAAAAATAAAAATAAAAATGCAATTACAATTTTTTCTCTGTTTGCAACACTTCAGCAACACCCAATTGCCTTCAGGATCAAGTCTTAACTGCTTGGTAGAGCAATTCCCTCAGATCTGAGTCTAAACTCCTCCTGCTCTCCCCTTATGTACCACTTCCCACCTGTTTGCCCCACACATTGTCCCAATAATAGAGAACTACTGAAATCCAAGGACTGTGAAATGCTTTGACGTGCTTCCTGACATCCTACAAACCATTCCACCTACCAGGAATACTTTTTCCCTGTCCCAATGCCACTTCTCTCCATGTTTGCCACCAGAGTCAGATCCAATGTGTTCCCATTGGATGGAGACCCATTGGATAGAGAAGCCTTCCCTAGAAGCCTTCCCTGACTCCCCAAAGCTGACTCAGGAACTTTCTACTCTGTGATACCCCTAAATCCAAAAGAGGACTTCCACAGAGCATTTGTCCTAATATAGTTTTCCTTACTGTCCTGTACCTCCAGAATAAATTAGGTCCTCCTCCTACATGTACCCACCACACCCTGCATTTTCTCTATTATAACACTTTTGACATTTTACAGAAATTATTTTAACTGTCTTTCCTACTAAAAATAAGCTTCACGAGAGCAAAGGTATGTTTGCTTATTTGCTGCTTTACTTCCAGGACCTAACTGTAGTGACTGCCATATGGAAGGTACTCAACAGTAGTTGAAATATTGAAGGACTGAAACTATTTGGTTT